TCGCGATGGAAAAATGCAAGAGCGTTCCACGTCGCGAGACGAATTGGAGGAGAGGGGGGGGACAGAGAAGAGGAACCAGACGTGATCACATGCGCCTTGCTATGACAGCCACTCGGTGCGCATTGTGCCGCCGTTGGTGGCCTCAGAAATCCTACTCTCCACGGCGTCGCGGACGATCCCTTCTGCCGCCAGGTTGGCCGTCGACCGCTGGGTGCTCGGGGGATCCGGCGGGGACGTGGGCGAAATGCGAATGAGCGGCCGCCAGTTGGATGAGATCTCACCCAACGCACGGTCGACGTATAACTTCTTCTCGGGATACTCATCTTGAAAATTTTGCGAGCTGCTTTGACCGCAAGCTCACGTCGTGCCATGCGCATGTTCTTGTCGGGGCCCACGAAAACATCACCAGCTTCACCAGTGATAGACGCAGCCTAGCAGCGCCTGAAGTTGCCGCTCATCAGACGCGTTTTGCCAATGGCCTGCTGGACCTTCTTGCTGGCCAGCGCGGGGGTGCCGAACATATGGAGCTTGAACTTGGTTCCCGTCGGGTCGCCCACGATCTTGTAGTCGGTGTCGTAGACGTTGCAGTCACGAAGCCAATCAGCCAACGCTGCCTCAGCGCGTGACTTGGCGGTCTGGAACTTGCAGCGGATGAGGATGACCAATGGGTCGATGGAGCGGTTGAAGGCGGAGTCCGCTGCCTTGGCCACCGGTGTGGGTTCTGCCGTGCGAGCGATGTTGAGGACCTGACAAAGTTCAGCAATCTCACGGCCATGTTTCTCGAGCATGGAGACCTGTTCGCGCTGAGTGGATTCCAATCCTGACATGCGGCTTTCGACGGACTTGCTGACGTTGATGACGGCGTTGGGCAACTGGGAGGAGAGTGAGGAGAGCGAGCTTGACATCTTCCCTTGAGCTTCTTGACCGGGGCTTGAAGTTCACGCCGTAGAGCATCCAGCTCACGAGTGAGATCACCAGCAGACAACACAGCATTCTCATCGCAGTCTTCGAACATCTCGTCCTCCTGCCTGCCGTCGGGCTTGCGCTTGATGCGCCTGTCTGCTGCCGGCGAGGCGCAATTGCTGCCAGCTGCTCCCGTGCCAGCCATCTTCGCCGCGGGTACAGAATCTGTAAAGCGGCACCCAAAAGATGTGCCGAAAGGCCACGGGAACGGAATGTGGCAGGAGCCGTGGGCACGGGGCCCCAAGCAGCCTGGGCCAGACAGGCTACGGAGGGGTCCAATTCTAATCGCTGGCTCTCGGGCGTCTATAGCCTTTCACGTTGTTTAGCCTTGAGCCAAAATGGCTACGGTCCTCCTCCTCCTCCTCCTCCCTACTCCTTCCTCCCTCCTCCCTCCTCCTTCCTCCCTCCTCCCCTCCTCCTTCCTCCCTCCTCCCTCCTCCTCCTCCTCCCTCCTCCTCCTCCTCCTCCTCCTCCTCCTCCTCCTCCTCCTCCTCCTCCTCCCTCCTCCTCCTTCTCCTCCTCCTCCTCCTCTCCTCCTCCTCCATCCTCCTCCTCCTCCTCCTCCTCCTCCCCTCCTCCTCCTCCTCCTCCCTCCTCCTCCCTCCTCCTCCTCCCTCCTCCTCCTCCTCCTCCCTCCTCCTCCTCCTCCTCCTCCTCCTCCTCCTCCTCCTCCTCTCCCTCCTCCTCCCTCCTCCTCCGTCCTCATTCCTGCTCCTCCTCCTCCTCCTCCTCCTCCTCCTCCTCCTCCTCCTGCTCCTGCTCCTGCTCCTCGACGAAATCGCTGGACTGAAAACGTCAGAAACCGCCATGGACAGTTCATTCGGAGCTCCGCGCGGATCTCTTGGATCGGCGCTGGGCCTCTGGCGCCGCCGCTGGTGCGCTCTGCGCGCCAGGGAGGGGGGCCCAGCGCGGAGCGCGCAATGGGCGGCGCCAGGGGCGCCGCAAAGGGCGGCCCAGCGCCGATCCAAGAAACTCGCCCGAAGCTCCGAACGTTTATGTTTGTGGCGTTTTTTTTGTCGACCCTGACATCGCATCCCCCGTCTTCTGAACGACTTGGTAAGCAGGGCGGAGGTGTTCGCCCCCTTGCTCAAACTCCCTTGATGCCGATGCTTACCCCACTTTGCCGTCGCTGTTTCCGCCATGCCTTTGCGGAAATATCTGCCCTGCTTCTTCTGAGGCGGATGTTTCCACGTCGGCCCCCAGAGGTCTCGACTCCTTCCCTGGGACCAGACTCGACTCCTTCCCTGGGATAGTCCCGGGGCCCGGCGAGGACTCCGAGATGCTGCGAAAGTGCCCCCCCCCCTCACCCCCCTCCGTTGTGATCCGTTCTTCGGTGCTGCTCCGAACGCCTACGTTTGTGCCGTCTGTTTCCGTCTTTTTCTCCGCGCAGGACTGAAGACCCAGATCTGGAGGAGCGGCCAACGGCATAGTAGCAAAAACTTTCGGTGGCCGGCGCGGATGTCGTAGGGCGGGCGCCGTGCCGCGCAGGGCTGGCGTCATAAGCGCCGCCAGGGTTAGGTCGGGCATGTCCCCCTACAGGCGGATTTTGGACGACGAATACAAAATACAAAACAAGTATTCCCCAAATGGGGAAAAACACTCGAAATATCGTCCCCAGGCAATGTTTTACTATTGTTTCAATATTCCTCCTGTAGGCTCCCGACTTGACGCCAGGGGTGGCGAGCGCCGATCCAAGAGATCCGTGCTGACCCCCGACCTCCTATGCTTATGTCTTGGCGCCCCTCGGCAGCGCGTTGTCCTCGGAGATCTGGTGAGCTCAAGTGCTTCGGCAGGAGTGGGGCGGGAGCGGCGGCGACAGAGCAAGGCGGGCATCGGCACCAAGAGGAGCCTGGAAAGCAGGGCGAGCACCTGCCTACGACATCGCCCCGAGCACGGCGGATGCAAAGTCGGGGTCGGAACTTTTGCGCTCTAGGCAAGAGGGGGTCTCCCGTGATGGGGTCGCAACAAAACAACAGTTCGTCCTGTGACTCATGGCGCGCGGCCTCTCCGACGCACCAACGATGCCAGACGCAACGTGCTCAGCCCGCATCAAGCACAATCCAGCACGAACGATTGCACGAGCTGCTGGGCACGTTTTCTGAGACCCCCTTTGCGAAGGGCCCATGAGCACGAATCTGTCGCCGCGCCGTTTGTTCTCGGCGCGCCCACGTGGACGGCGCCGACACTACGGTTCGGTCGGGCGTGCCCCCCTACAGGAGGATCTTGGACGAAGGCTCAAAGTTGGTCGAAAAATCGTCCCCGGACTGTCTTTGTTCCTGTGTCTGCTTGTTCCTCCTGTGGAGGGACAGGCCCGACTCAACACTGCGGCAAGCCCACAGCAAGCCCTGCGCCGCCGGCGCCCGAGCAGACGCCGCGGGCGCCGCGGCAGACCCACGGCGAGCCTGCGGCCGCCCGAGGCGGCCCGAGGCGCCCTCCCCGAGACGAGGCCGCGCGTCGGCAAGCAGGGCGCCCGGGCCGAGCCCCACTGGCCGGGAGCGCGGCGGAGCCCCAGGAGAGCGAGGCCCTCACAGAGTGCGGTCGGACTCGATTGGAGAGGGCCCGCGCGAGGACACGAGGCCCTTCTGGAGGCCACGCTGCCACGAGCGGGGCACGGGACGCGAGGGCAGCCTTGATCTGGCAGGGTCGACCTACTAATCTGGGCCGACTGTAGCTCAACACTGACACGGTGGTGGCCGGGGAGCCCCCGCGACATGTCCACGAGCGTTGCTCCACCCCGGCGGGTGTGGACGGAGGACGCGCTCACAACGCACACCGCCAGAGGCGGCGGAGAGCTTGAGAGATCCACCTACTAAAAGAGGCATGTTTCTGCGCCCGCGGCCCGGGCGCACAGTGCCCCAAGTCCGTCCAGAACGGGTCCCTGGACCCCTCCTTGGGGTCCACCTGGTGCAGCTTGTCACCCCGGATGCATGACTTCTCGGCCCCGGGGCCCCAACACGGCCCCTGGAGGCCGACGGGGGCAGAAAATCTCCCCGGACCCAGAGCCTTCGAGCAGGGGATGGACTACAGAATTGATTTACCCCAAAATTGAGTTGTTCGTCGAATCCATGAGACGTGCGTAGAATGTTTGTAGATCTACGAACATTCTGCGTATGATTCGACGAGAAAATCCACCTTGGGGTAAATCAATCCTGTAGTCGATCCCCTGCTCGAAGAGCCTCGAACTTCGAACCTCGAGAACTTCTGCGCTCTTCGAGAAGCCGCATCCTTGGAGATCTGGTAAGGCTGTCGCGCTCGACGGACCCGGGGCACCAAAGCGGCCCCCAAATGGGCGGCAAAAGCTAAAAACTAACCCCGAACACGGAGCCTCGAACCTCGAGCCCCGACGGCATGCTTTCTCCATACCGTCGACCCTCAGAGGTCTCGACCCATTCCCCTGGACCGGTTCTGCATCCTCCATCGTTTCTTTGACTTTGGGTGACCCAAAAGGGGGTCCAGCTGAAAGGGGGTGGTGCAATAGATTTCGGGCAAATGTATTGCAAATGTATTGCGCCGGAGAATTTTATTGCATTGCGTTGCAAGTAATGTATTGCACGCGAAAGTCCAGCAGTACATTTGCGCCCTGGAATGTCTTGCACGCCCCTAATGTGTTGTAACCCCACAAATCTATTGCACCAAATCTATGGCACTACCCCCTTGTCGCTGGACCCCCTTCTGGGTCAACCCGATTGACGGCCCCGAGGGCTGGTAGACGCAGAACATATGGGAAACCCTCCAGTCATGATTCTGCTCCTTGCCCAAGGGGGCCTGGGAACCTCGAGCCCGAGGAGGAGGAGAAGGAGGAGGAGGAGGAGGGAGAAAAAGGAGGAGGAGGGGGAGAAAGAGGAGGATGGGGAGAAAGAGGAGGAGGAGGAGAAAGAGGAGGAGGAGGAGGAGGAGGAGGAGGAGCGGGAGAAAGAGGAGGAGGAGGAGGAGGTAGGAGGGAGGAGGGAGGAGGGGAGGAGGAGAAGAGGGAGGAGGAGAGGAGGGAGGAGGAGGGTCGACGAGGAGGAGGGAACCGCTCTTCGAAAATCCGTGTCCTCGGAGATCCGGCACGGCCGCCGCGCTCGACGGCCAGGGCCACGGCGCCGTGGAAGCGCCGCCGCGGCCCGCCGGGGCCCCCCGCGCGGGCGTCGGGGAAGACCGCCGCGCGGTGCCGCGCGCCCCTGCCGCGGAGGGAGGGGAGATCGAGGAGGGACCCAGACGTGACCCTCCTCCTCCTCCTCTTCCTCCTCCTCCTCTTCCTCCTCCTCCTCCTGCTCCGCCTCCTCCTCCTCCTCTTCTCCTCCTCGAGGGAGGGAGGTAGGGAGCCGCGAGGTCTCGCATGGATTTGCGTACTCCCCCATTCCGCTGGGCCTCGCAGGATACCACGAAGAAGGCGACAATTGCGGAGCTCGCAGCCCCCACCCCAAGGAGCCGAGAGGTCTCGGCTGGATCTGCGTGCTCCCCCACTCCGCTGGGCCTCCCAGGAACCAACGAAAATGGCGAGAGTTCCCAGGACCCACACATGACAGCGTCGTGACAAAAATCCGGGCGGGAGGTTCTCAGACTCTTTCGGCCTCCGGAAGCCCTCGCCGGGCCTCGGGACTAGCAAAGACAGCTCAGGACGAAAAACCGGTCCAGGGGAAAGGATCGGGACTTCCAGGGACTCTGCATTGAAAAAACAAGGCGTCGCATGTCTGGGGAGGGAGGAGGGGAGGGAGGGAGGGGGGGAGGAGGGAGGGGGGGAGGAGCAGGAAGCGGAGGAGGAGGAGGAGGAGGAGAAGAGGAGGAGGATAATAATCTGAGAAGGAGGAGGAGGAGGAGGAGGAGGAGGAGGGAGGAGGAGGAGGGAGGAGGAGAGGAGGAGAGGAGGAGAAGTACGGCAAGGTCTGGGCGCTTCGGGGTCAAGTCCTGCAGACTGGAAGCAGCAAACTGACCCATGCATGGTGCAACATGGATGCAGGACCCTCACACCTTATGAGGGCCAGGGGGAGAGGCCGATGGAAGAAAAGGAGGAACCCTGATCTCCGGCGATCCGTTTCCCACCCCTGGTCTCCACTTGATTCTCCTCTCCCCACCTCCTGCTCGCGGCTTCATGGGGGGATCCGGGCGGGACCTAGCGGCTCCCTGGGGGGCGCTGCAAGCTGCGCAACTGTCGCCACTTTCGCGGGGCTCCTGGGAGGCCCAGCGGAGTGGGGGAGCACGCAGGTCCATCCGAGACCTCGCGGCTCCCTGGGGACTCTCGCCATTTTCGTTGGTTCCTGGGAGGCCCAGCGGAGTGGGGGAGCACGCAGATCCAGCCGAGACCTCGCGGCTCCTTGGGGTGGGGGCTGCGAGCTCCGCAATTGTCGCCTTCTTCGTGGTATCCTGCGAGGCCCAACGGAATGGGAGAGTACGCAAATCCAGCCGAGACCTCGCGGCTCCCTGGGAGGTGTTGCCACTGTCGGGGGCTCATGGGAAGAAGTACACAGGTCCAGCCGAGACCTGGCGGCTGCCTGGGGACTGTGGCGACTTGCGTGGGCTCCTGGGAAGCCCAGCGGATTGGGGGGAGTACGCAGATCCAGCCGAGACCTCGCGGCTCCCTGGGGGGCTGCGAGCTGCGCATCTGTCGCCACTTTCGTGGGCTCCTGGGAGGCCCAGCGGAGTGGGGGAGTGCGCAGATCCAGCCGAGACCTCGCGGCTCCCTGGGGACTCTCGCCATTTTCGTTGGTTCCTGGGAGGCCCAGCAGAGAGGGGGAGTACTCAGGTTTAGTCGAGACCTCGCGACTCACTGGCGACTGTGGCCACTTTCGTGGGCTCCTAGGAAGCCCAGCGGAGTATGATAGTACGCAGATTCCAGCCGAAACCTCGCTGCTCCCTTGGGGTGGGCTGCGAGCTGCGCAACTGTCACATTTTCGTGGGCTCCTAGGTCGCCCAGCGGAAAAGGGCGGTACGCAGCTCCATCCGAGACCTCGCGGCTCCCTGGGGGGCTGCGAATTGCGCAACTGTCGCCGCTGACTCCTGGGAGACCCAACGGAGTGGGGGAGTACGCAGATTCAGCCGAGACATCGCAGCTCCCTGGGGACTGTCGCCACTTTCGTGGGCTCCTGGAAAGTCCATTGGAGTAGGAGAGTGCGCAGATCCAGCTGAGACCTCGCGGCTCCCTGGGGGGCGAGCTGCGCAACTGTCGCCACTTTCGTTGGCTCCTGGGAGCCCAGCGGAGTGGGGGAGTGCGCAGATCCAGCCGAGACCTCGCGGCTCCCTGGGAACGGTCGCCGCTTTCGTTGGCTCGTGGGACGGCAAGCGGAGTGATGGGATACGCAGATCCAGCCGAGACCTCGCGGCTCCCTTGGTGGGCTGCGAGCTGGGCAACTGTCGCCATGTTCGTGGGCTCCGGGGGAGGGGGTGTACGCAGATCCAGCCGAAACCTCGCGGCTCCCTACGGGGATGCGGACTGCGCAACCGTTGCCACTTTCCTGAGCTCCTGGGAGGCTCAGCGGAGTGAGGGAGTACGCAAATCCAGCCGAGACCTCGCGGCTCCCTGGGGAACTGCGAGCTGCGCATCAGTCGCCTCTTTCGTGGGCTCCTGGGAGGCTAGCGGGATGGGGGGAGTACGCAGATCCAGCCAAGACAACGTGGCTCCCAGGGGGGCTGTGGACTGCGGAACTCTCGCCACGTTCGTGAGCCCAGCGGCGTGGAGGAGTACGCAGATTCAGTCGAGACCTCGCAGCTCCCTGGGGGGCTGAAAACTGCGCAGCTGTTGCCTCTTTCGTGGGCTCCTGTGAGGCCCAGCGGAGAAGGGTAGTAGGCAGATCCAGCCGAAGGAGTCCCCGCGGAGTGGAGATCCAGCGGAGTGGATCTAGTCGCAGCACGCAGGTGCAGCCGAGACAGCACGGCGTTCCGAGGGCTGCGTGCTGCGCGACTGCCGCCGCTTTCGTGGGCTCCTAGGTGGCCCAGCGGAGTAGGAGAGTACACAGATCCAGCCGAGACCTCACGGCGCCCTGGGGGGCTGCGGACTGCGCAACTGTCGCCGCGTCCGTAGGCTCCTGGGAGGCCCAGCGGACTGGGGGGAGTACGCAGATCCAGCCGAGACCTCGCGGCTCCCCGGGGAACTACGAGCTGCGCATCCGTCGCCACTTTCGTGGGCTCTTGGGAGGCCCAGCGGGGTGGGGGGAGTGCGCAGATCCAGCCGAGACGAAGTGGCTTCCAGGGGGGCTGCGAGCTGCGCAACTGTCGCTGCTTTCGTGGGCTCCTGGGAGGCCCAGCGGATTGGGGGGGGGTATGCAGACCCAGCCGAGCGTCCGTAGGCTCCTGGGAGGCCCAGCGGCGTGGGGGAGTGCGCAGACCCAGCCGAGACCTCGCAGCTCCCCGGGGAACTGCGAGCTGCGCATCCGCCGCCACTTTCGTGAGCTCAGTGGCGTGGAGGAGTACGCAGATCCAGCCGATACCTCGCAGCTCTCTGGGGGGGGGGCTACAAACAACTGCGCAACTATGGCCACTTTCGTGGGCTCCTGTGAGGCCCAGCGGAGAAGGGGAGCACGCAGATCCAGCCGAGATCTCGCGGCTCCCTGGGGGGCTGCGAGGCTGCGAGCTGCGCAACGATCGCCACTTTCATTGGCTCCTGGGAGGCCAACCAGAGTGGGAGGAATGCGCAGGTCCAGGACCTCGCGGCTCCCTGGGGGAGAGCTGCGAACTGCGGAACTGTCGCCATTTTCGTGGGCATCTGGCAGGCCCAGCGGCATGGGAAGCACGCAGATCCAGCCGAGACCTCGCGGCTTCCTGGGGGGCTTCGAGCTGCGCGACTGTCGCCACTTTCGCAGGCACATGGGAAGCCCAGCGGAGTGGGGGAGTGCGCAGATCCAGCCGAGACCTCGCGGCCCACTGGGGGTCTGCGAACTGCGCATCTGTAGCCACTTTCGTTGGCTCCTGGGAGGCCCGGCAGAGTGGAGGCATTTTTTTGCCTGGAAGCGAAAGGCCAACCTCCAAATCCTGCCACTGCTGACCTTTCTCGCAAGCATCCATCCCAGAACGATAGCTGATGACAACGGGCTGCATCTTCGTCTCGACCATCTCGCTGAGCAGCGACAGGGCATGCTGCTACTGCTGACCTCTCTGCAAGCACGGATCCAAGCATTGTAGATGATGGTATGGACATCAATTTTCGTCTCGACTATCCAGCTGAGCAGCGACATGGCCCGCTGCCACTGCTGACCTTTCTCACATGCGCTGGTCCAAGCGTTGTAACTGATGGCAGTGGGCTCCAGCTTCGTCTCGACCATGACGCTAAGCAGCGACAGGGCCCGCTGCCACTGCTGACCTTTCTCGCAAGCGCTCATCCAAGCACTGGACTCCAGCTTTGTCTCGACCGTCTCGTCGAGCAGCGACAGGGCCTGCTTCAAAGTCCGACCTTTCTCGCATGCGCTGATCCCAGCGTTGTAGATGATGGTATCGGGCTCCAGCTTCGTCTCGACCAGGACGCTGAGCAGCAACAGGGCCCGCTGCTACTGCTGACCTTTCTTGCAAACGCTCATCCCAGCATTGTAGACGATGGTATCCGGCACAGGTTTCGTTTCGACCATGCGGCTGAGCAGCCACATGGCCCGCTGCCACGCTGCCACTGCTGACCTTTCTCGCCAACGTTCCTCCCAGCGTTGTAGCTGATGGCAGTGGGCTCTAGCCTCGTCTCGACCATGTCGCTGAGCAGCGACAGGGCCTGCTGCCACTGCTGACCTTTCTCGCATGCGCAGATGCCAGCACTGTAGATGATGGTATCGGGCGCCAGCTTCGTCTCGACCATGTTTGGCTGTCACAGCGGCAGGACTTGCCGCGGGCCGCTTGATTGATGGCTCTGATAACGCTAGTAGTTGGCCACTGGAGGCACCCACGGTACGCGGCGCGCCATCATAGTCCACACGCGCGCGGTCCACTCACGGTGGCTTTCAATGTCTGGCAACGGCGGAGAAATAAGCCGCAATAAAGGCCAAACGGACACGATATGGTTAAGAGGATCAATACCAAGGACAAAACTTATCACAGTTGGCCAACACGTCGCAATACCTACGCCCCTGGCTCCAAACTGCGACGATACACGCAAAGCCACAAGTTGCAAATCTAGGATCAATGCGCTCGCCTCGTCAAATTCTCCACGGCGCCTCTGCTCTGCTAAGTGCCGCAATTGTGTCGCAAGCTGGGTTGCAGTGTGATC